CAGATTATTAATACTTAAACAATAGACTACACTAACCTGCTTTAGTCCAGTAGTCACATTGAATACTCTTAGTATCAGTTGAAATATCTTTCAATGACTGCAACTCTTCCTTTAGTTGTAATTTTTCTTTTGTCAGTTTAGCAATTATCAGTTCATCGTCAAAAACTTTAGCTTTAAGTTTCTCATTCTCTTCTACACAAAATAAATGTATAATATAACATATTACCATAAAAGGATATACCTTGACTGGTTGTTTCTTTAGTTTTTGTTGTCTCCCCCTCCTCCTTCTCCTCTCCTTTAAGATCATCAATATCTTTATAAACTAGTAAACACACACACACATCAAACAAGTCTCTAACTATTACTGTGTGTGTATATATACTTACCATCACTTGGTCCAGTAGACACTTCCTCTTTAGTTGAAGATAGTTTAGTTTCTTTCACTCCTTCTACTCTTGTCTTGTCTAGTGGTATAGGTTCAATAACTACTGACACACACACACACACACACAGTAGAGGACTATACCTTGCTGACTAGCCTCAAGGAGTGCTTCCTGCAGTGAGGTCTTGTTTCCCTCAGATACTCTTAACTCCTGCTGTAATGATTCCACATAATTTTGTAGTTTTACTTCTCTCTCTGTAGGGTATACTATAAACTGATCTTGCCACCATTGTCTGTTCTTTAATAATAACTGATACTTGTCTTGATAGGCCTCGGTAGTCAGACCAGTAGAATCCAGTACTTCACTTACTCTCCATTCACCTTCTCTTAAAACTAATACAAACATGAAGGAGGAATAATTCATGTATGTACATGTACATGTAAACATGATGTAATGCTGTTACTATAATAGAACACAATACATGTAGCATTAGAGGGTATATAAATATTATCCATTAATTGTTGTTTTAATCACAAATTACAAACCAGAAAATACATTTTAAGGGACAATTGCTAAAATAAAGTGCCGCCCAAATGGCACCAATACACTGCACTATACACAGAACTTGGTAATTTAGTTATGTCAACTATCATTGCAGTTTATTATAACAATAATAATTCCCTCATGTTATGTCATGGAATACCAGCAATGATGTATTCAAACTTAAACTTGAGTTGTATCTCCAATAAATCCCTCTATACAGTACATACAATGCAAAATAGTTCAGTTCTTACCTAGTTCTATTAACATTGTGATATTGGGATCAGTGATATAGGCAGAAAATGGTTGCTCATATTCTCTTCCTACATCTTTCCATTGAGTTGTTCCTCTCCCACCCACTACCACCAACCACACACAGTGTGGACTCATCATTATTGATGATAAGGAATAATTCTTTCTACTAGTAACAGATTCAGGTAGAACAATCTGTTGAAATAATACATGTATGGTAATATTTTATCATGTAAACAGTATTTACAATATGCTACAAATATTCAAGGGAATATACATGTACATGCACTAGGTACATGTACTGTACATGCACACAGTGAGTATTTCTAAGGTATTAATACAATACAATACATTAACATGACAACTACTGTACAATCACTGTATCAAACACATGTACACTCTAAACTAATAACATTATACACATACCTTACTCCACTGGTACTGACTAGTATTCAGTAACCAACTATCATTTACTAGTCCATCATAACCCTCTCCACCTATCATTACTAGTGTTGGTGAGTCACTGATGATACTAGTAATAGCATGAAAACGTCTCTCCACAGGCCACTGTACACTAGCAGGTACTACTGGTCCCTTAACACTCTCCCAGTGCTAGATAAAATGAATTAATCGATATTATAAAATGTATCAATGCATGTACACTGTTCTATTATACTTGAGTGTTTGTTCATTTAATTATAAAATAATTATGTTAATACTAGTGATAATTGTACAGTTTCCATTAAAATAAAGTATAAAACCAAATCTACATGTAATACTCATTTAATTACATTTTTCAAATTACAAGCTATACCCTTATGTACATGTATTAATACATGTATCTAAACATGATTGATCCATGCAATAAATACATCCCATACAGTGATAAGATAACTTACTATTGTAGTATCAGACTCCAGTCGACATGTATAAACTGTATTAACAAGTAAGCTTCTACCATCATCCCTAGGCACTGCTCCACCAAACATGACAGCTTTATTATTAGTAATCTTTTCAATAGCAAAGGCAGCAGTAGGAGGACAACACTGACCACTAATAGTTGGAATAATCCATTGTCCTAAATAGAAATAGATAGTATAATTAGAAATATTAAGTATGACAATGCAAATATCATGTACATACATGTATACATGTATAGCAAGAAATAATGGCTGTAAATTAATTTTGATGATTGGCAGTTTGGTGAAAAACAATGTATTTAAAATTGCCTTTATTTTTTATCCACTTTGCACAGATACATATCAGTTGTAGCTCAATATGACAACATTTGACAATATCGTTCATAAATGGAGTAAAATGATTATTAGAGTTCAATAAACTAAATGAATGAATGAATGACAGACAACCAGACTACCTAGTCCCTCAACCACACAAAGCATTGGTGAGGGAAGTTAATCAATAAATTTACTAAGACCATGTGGACAAATTATTAATAGGTGGAGTAGGATGCATCCATGCTTGAAGGCTTCATTGTTAATTTTGCATTTTTACTTTTATGTAGCTGATGTAACTCAAAATTAGTTAGTCAAATCAACTGTCTCTTCATACAATGATGGCTCATGCTCACTCCTTCAATGTTTACATGCACCTACTTAATATGCAAATGGTAAGAAAAATAACGATTGAACAAGATACCTACGGTGCATGGCCTCGCCCCTATAGCTGCTATGGTGCATGACCACACTGCAATAGCTGTTTGATTATCAGCATGAAGAGAGTCTGCTAAACACTAGCTTCCTGCAGGTGCACTTGCTCTTGAATACCTGCAGAAGTAGCAGCACTGCAGCACATACATGCAAGCAGCTCCAGCTCCTCCCATGCATGCAGATTAAAAGGTGTGGCATTCCATCATAACTGTAATGATTGGCAGCAAGAAGACCATGTGAGAAAGAAGCTTCACTTTTTCTTTACTAATCAGCAATATATGATAAACTTGCTGACAAAAAAGTTGCTGCCTTTGTATATTTGAGATAGTATAGGTACTGTAGTACCTATAACCCAGCAAGTTGTTGTTCTAGCACTGCACAAACGAGTGACCTCAGCAATTTCAAGTAAGTACAACTCTTCATTCAGTAAGATTTAGAGAAATCTGTTCATATTTTTTGAAGATCATGTTCTAATCTACTGAAAAATGTTACCAGCTATCTCTAAAGTGCCAACACAACGGAACTTGGCTCAACTACTCGATTTTCTTACTTTGAAGCTTCTGTACCTAGCACTTGTATTTGAGCAACATTAAGAAAGACTTTTTCACGTCAAAAAGAAAGATCTAGGAGCTTAAAACACACTGTGCTAAAGTTATTGTTTATTAAAAACAAATTTCAGTTGTACAGAATGAATGAATGAATGAATGACAGACACACACAACAACTACCTATACCTCACATAGGCGAGACCAAAAATATGTCATCACAAGCAGAATATAGATTAATATATGTATTAATCAATAAATACTTACTTGTTGATAGGTTTAATATATTCTGTTCATTAGTACAAATACGACCATTAACCATCTGAATATACTGATACTGTGATTGGTATGTAGTGGGTGTAGAACCATTCCCTCCTATTATAAATAGGTATTCTGTACCCATAGACTCCATACACACCATATCACCAAACGTTCTCTTCATTACAGCATCACTGATTGGTATTATATTACTCCATTCATATGTTAGACTGTTAAATGAGTTGATGTCATTATGAAAGCAGTCATCATGTCCACATGTACCGCCAAAAAAGAAGATGTCATTGTTTCTGATAGTACAGAAGTATCCTATAGCTCCTAGAGGAGGTGATGTTCCTCTGGTCACGTGAGAGGACCAAAGACCAGTCCTAAACTCAAGTCTATCAATGGTGGACAACAATTCCCTCTTTTGTGGGGAATCATGAACTCTAGGTAAGTCAGGCCTATCCCCTCCCCACAGGAACATTGATTCTCCTACTACAGGAGCTAAGTGATCTGATATCCCTCCCATTTGATAGATACCTGTAAAATACAAACATGATGAGAAAGAGGAGGAAGAAAACAGAAACTAACCTTTAGACATTGTTTGTCAAGAATGTTAATTAACCAGCCACACCCATACTCTAATGAATATTGTTATTAAATAACAATATTCATTAGAGTAACGGTGGGAGTTTAATGTTCAAAGTAGTGAAAGTACCATAAAAAATTTAAACATTTGACTAGAAACCCAATTTTTTTCTGAGGGGTAGAGCTCTCCTACTGCAATAGCTAGAACCAATTTCAGCAAGTTTGCAATGGCTATTCCATGTTATATTTGACTGCAAATGATTATGGTCAATTGCTAAGTCCAAATTATTTGGACTTAGCAATTGACCATAATCATGAGAAAAAGAAAGAGATTTGTCAGGAGAAAACAGCCTAAAAGAGAGCTAACCTTCAGACATCATTGTTGTTTTTGTTTCCCTTTATGAATTCATTACCAGATACCTCTGGTGTCCCAAAGGGAGTATTAAATTATTCATGAGATGAGAGCTATAGGGTTAATCACTCTTCTTTACTTTATCCATTATTAAAATACTGTATCTATGACTCATCAATGACGTAATATTTGTTCCTGAGTCTATTTATGTTTAATACAAAATATTCTATCCCTTTTGTCAATTTATCAATTATTTTTAGTTTTTTGAAATAATGCATTACATAATTTAAATTTGACCACAATAAAGCCTAAACTATCAAAATACTGTAGATCAATAATGATTGCAGTGGATCTTTGAAGTATTGCCATAAAGTCTACTGAGATAAGTCAAAATTACATAACAGTACTATTAATGCTACAACTCAAGAGCTATGACAACAGATGTCCAAGCAAATAACAGTTACATCACTAGTGCTCATGTTGCTACTATTACCAAGCTAACAAGGTACTACTAGTACGTACATGTACATTAAGTATTAATTTATTATTATTATTTCTTGCAATTATTATTTCAAGAATATGAATTTAGAGAAGTTGCCTGTACATGTATGCCAGTGTATAATCAATCATTAGTATCATCACCAGTTGTTTTGCTTTATTGCCATTAAATCTGATCTACGTATGATGCCATGAGTCTGTGTGTAGGTCCCTGATGCATAGCGTGAGGGACCTCCCCTTGATACTCTTCTATTCACTTTCTTCCATTGATGACTGGGGGGAGGTGAACGAGATATTGGGACCTAATTAAGATGCACATTATTGTTGAAGTACACAATTTCTATAGAATACACATACAGTACATATAATTTTCTGATAAAAGCTACATGTGTATTTTGCTTTTTATGAATTTTTAAAGTTACTTGGAAATCTAGTAAAAGTCCCTGCACTAATTCCCGTATTGAGAAAAATTTTGCCAAAATTAAAAAAGAGAAAATCTCTATTTAAAAAATTTTTTCTGATGTACTGGTATATACATGTACATGTACTTATGTTGTGTAGAAAGTTTGAGCTGATTCCAATTAAATTTGAATTTTTTCAAATTTTTAAAAGTTGCTCCAAAATCGGCTAAAAGTCCCTGTACAAGGGGTGTTATCCAAATTTTGCCAAAATTGAAAAGAAGAGAAATTTCTACTTTTATAATTTTTTTGATGCATATGCATGTACATATGTTGTATAAAAAGGTTGAGCTGATTCCAATGAAGTTTTGATTTTTTTACAAATTTTTAAAGTGAAAAATCAGGACAAAGTCCCTGTACTATGGTATTTTATTAAAAGTGTCGATAATTATTGTGATTGATGCTTACAATTCTAGCACTGGTGACAGTGAGGTCTATTGGTTTTCCATAGGTAGAGTGAGGGGGAGGGGGAGGAGGAGGAGGAGGGACTGGTTTCTTTGTTGTCATGTGACTAGCTGAGGCACACCCTTCCTCGCTCGTGATAACGGCTATACTGTTGTCCTTGAGTGAGCCTGAAGGGGAGTACTGGGACGAGGCTAGAGAATGAAAAGGAGGAACATAGTTATGCATGTACCGTATAGCTCCAAATTTTTGTCAGTCAAAAATTTTGTCAAAATCTCAATTTTCTCGTTTTCGTCAATAAAATTTTCGTCAATAAATTTTTCATCATTTTGTTATTACAATCCTACTAACGTGGAACAAAAATTTCGTCAAGCAAAAATACCTGACAAATTTGACGAAAATTTGGACCCATTGAAAATTTGGAGCTATACGGTACTGTACATGTACATACATACATACATGTACATGTACATGGTTATAGATACATGTGTATTTTGCCTTTGAATTTTATCATGTACATGATGGTAGCATGTTTTTTTACAAAAAGAATGTTCATTGATAGTAATAAAACTAGCATGGCATATTGCATGTTAGATAAAACATAAGAAATGTAGCATAAGTACATAAAATATACATAATGAATGTAAGTCAGGAGCTGTAGTGCTGAATACATGTACATGTACATACTAGTGCTTTATCAGTGTCAGTTATCTTATCAGTTCTTAACCAAATCACACTAAACAGGTTAATTAAAATTAAAATACTTCATAAGCCAATCAGCCACAAGTAATGACAACATTTCCTCATAATAATAATGAGTGATTGATTAAGAAATGAATGGTATTATATAAAAAAACACTAACACATAATTAACGTACTAACACATGTAGCTACATGTACACCTACACGTACATTATAGTGCTTTTGTAATACACAAGGTGCTCCACCTTGTTAATAATGCTTTATGGTATGCTGCACTAATTAATGTTATTAGCTGCCACTGTTTAAAGAGCATCACTAATCATGCAATGAGGTATAACACGTTAAATACCATACATGTAGTATCATTATTACCTATTACCATACCTTTACATGCATGTACATGTACATGTACATAATTCATTTCGTTTTTGATGTACATGTAGCTAGTACAGTATCATTTATACAAAGCACATAGAATACTTGTCACTAATAGCCATAAACACAATTAAAGTATTCTATAGTCCATACATATGTATATTAGAGAATTGCTAGATTACTGTACATTTACATACCATTCAGAAATAAGGTACATGTACATTGTATATTTAGTAGTGTATAACTATAACCATTCATTTACATTACAATTCCTCTCCTTACCATTATTCCTTCTCTTGCATGCACTGCTGCTGATTTACTTCGATTCATGAAAGGTATAAAAGCTCTTGGCTTCACTTCAGCTCCACCTCCTCCTTCAGAATCATCACTTGTCTTCTTAACAGGCAGAGAAGGAGAAGAATGAGTCCTACTTCTTTTAACTTCTTTTCTTTCTTTCCTCTCTCTGATTGCGCTAGACTGTGGTCCAATATACAGCTCTCCAGTTTGCAGTCCTCAACCAATATGTCAGGGTTTGAAGGAGGAACTGGTGAGGCCGGTTTAGGTGATTGTGGGTGAAGCTCAGTGTGTCTCAATATCCTACAAGGAACAAGTTAATGATTGTACATTGTACACATGTAAGTGTCCAGCATTATTAGTTGTACAATGTATACATGTACATGTATGTATGTGCATATGTATGCGTATATACATGCATATAATATACACATATTAATTATACATGTACATGTATATATGTACATGTATAATTAATATGTGTATATTATATGTATGTATATGTACATGTATAATGTATGTGTGCTTTATAGTTATTTTGAATGTACTTACATGTACACGTATTGGAGGGTAAAAATTAATTTTGAATTATTCATAGCATTTTTTGAGTATTATCTTTACCAATAGGTCAACAATAGGGCTGTTAGTGTGTGCCATACTGATCATGCCATGAGTGTAGGTACAATGAAACATATGCAAAGTATTCACACAGTCTTATGTGTACCAGTATAAATGTATACTTCACACTGTATATGCATGTGTGTGTAGTTAATGTACATTGTACACTAACAGATATTGCTACCTGTTATTATACCAGTTAGGTGTGTGTGTGGGTGTGTGTGTGTGTGTGTGTGTGTGTGTGTGTGTGTGTGTGTGTGTGTGTGTGTGTGTGTGTGTGTGTGTGTGTGTGTGTGTGTGTGTGTGTGTGTGTGTGTGTGTGTGTGTGTGTGTGTGTGTGTGTATTATTATTATTATGATGATGCAATATGTACATGTACATGTATACCTTGTACAGTTGTTCTCTATATTCGTGAGCTGTTAGTTGTACATTATCTTCAATCACTGGCACTATTTGACACCCAATGACTGGCTTCTTGTCAGAATCATGAAACCTATTGATTTAAATTAAAAAATATATATCAAAACCATCTTTATAACACTCTTGCTTACATGTATATGCACACACAAAAACACTGTCAATTTCACTGTTAAATTTTATGGCGACTACATTATCACACATACACCTGTAGATTGAAATACACACACACACATTTGACTCTCTCTTTTTCATTCTTCCTTTCTCCCTCCCTCTCTCTCTCTCTCTCCCTCTCTTTTCCATCTTCCTCTGAATCACTAAAAAGTACATGTACATATCTACTAGTGTACTTTGATAGGTAAGGATGCTCTAGACAATTTTCAGCAGTCAGTCTCTTGTTCGGATTGAAATTTAGCAACTTGTTGAGTAAATCAAGTGAAATATCATCAGCTTGAGGTAATATATCAGTCAAATACTTGTGTCTCCTATAGTATATACCGGTAACACATAATTAATCTAAGTGAAAATAATTATTGTAAACATACATGTACATACATTTATAATGAACTTACATAGCACATATCACTGAGTTACATATACATGTACATGTACATGTATATGTATGGTAAAAACATACAGTATTTTTTATTATATGCAATATTATGTACATGTACATTATACATATACACTGTATGTACTTGTGTATTATTTGGTCCAGTATTGCTTTGGCGTAAGGTGATTTAATGCTCTCCATGTCTTGTCTTGAAGGAGGAGGGAGGGTAGACATTATCCTGTCCAACTGGTTGATGGTGGATGAGCCAGGGTAGAGTGGCCTACTTGTAAAGAATGACAATAAAATATTTACATGTTGTAATGGTTTTTTTGTGCAATGAAAAGTGATAGGATATACATGTACATGTACATGTATATACATGTGGTCTTGTGATACATTTGGGAAACAAAGAAGAAATGTGATCATAATTATGTCCATACGAGTTGAGGGCTGTGTGTGGCCTCAGTGTATGTATATGTGATTCTTCATTAAATTTCCTGTATGTACGTATGTTAAATGATAAATTCCATTCCTTAAACTAATGTACTGTTACAGTAGTACTTATGTACATGTAGTTTATATAATCTCTCATTCTCCCCTCTCTCTCTCCCTCTCTCTCTCTCTCTTCCTCTCTCTCCTCTCCCTTCCTCTCTCTCCCTCTCTCTCTCCCTCTTTCTCTCCCTCTCTCTCTCCCTTTCTCACTCTCCTTCTCCCTCTCTCCCCCCTCACTCTCTCCATCATTACTTGCTATCATTTCTGCTAGTATACAACCAAGCGACCACATGTCCACTCCTCTTGTATATCGTCTTGATCCTAGCAATATCTCTGGACTACGGTACCAATGTGTAGCAACATAGTCAGTCATGGCTGGATTGAAATCACTAACACCATCACCTCCAACCCCTTTACTCCCTTCATTGCTTGTGCTAGCCAGTGAATGGGCTAATCCAAAATCAGCCAACTATAATGTACTTACACGTAGGAGAAATATAGGATATCAAATAGTACAATGATGAACATCAAACAAAATGTACATGTATGCTACAAAATGCATGCTATTTATAGTGTTGATTAATAATAATGTACATGTATTGACATTACAATCATAGTGCTGTTTCTCATACTCATTCACATGCATCACATGTACATGTACATGTAATGCATGTAGCATAATAAAAAAAGGACATTTAAAATTCATTATTTATAGTGCTTTTTTATCACATCCGTTACTCCAAGTCCTATTCTATCGTACTGAACTGGATTCGTTGCCGTATTTCGTTCTCTCTTCTCAGGAGCTCTATCATGTGTCTCCGTGGGGCCAGATCATCCTATCACCATCCTTGCCAATCCTTCCTCTCTCATGAGCAAGCTCTCTCAGATGGGAGAGTTTACTAACTTACTTCTGTAGTTTATACCATACACATGCAGGCATTCACATGTACATGCATTATACTTATACATATTCAAATTGTATATATTCATGATATTGTTCCTACGTGTTTGTTATTATTTATTATTTATACATGCATATGACACTTTAATTACTGCATATTTGTTTTTTTTACATGTACAATTTGTGGGAGTATGGCACTAGCTGATAGACAGTGACTGCTGAGTAATAGTGATTAGGACTTAATGTGTTAACTAATTAAGATTTTGTGTTAAATTATTATTGTTACTATGTTTAGTATCATTACACTTATGTAATGATTTAATTTTGATTTTTGTATAAAAGGAGCTTGTGCTCTGTACTCTTTGGTCTGTCATTTTGTCTGTAGTTCTTTGCTGTAATATAATCTTTGATCTTAACCGATCGTATATCCCGCGGCAAGTGCATTTATACCAATACAATTGAGCATACATGTACATGTACATCTCTTAAAATTTAATTGTGTTGTATAGTAATAGTATGTACTGTACCTTGATAAAACATTCAGAATTAATGAGGATATTGCTGGGCTTCAGGTCACGATGAATGACATTGCCAGAATGAATGTACCATGTGTACATGTACATGTACATGTACATGAATACCCGACACAATTGACTCATAATGTACTGCATATGAACTGACTAGAGTATCTTACTCTTTATCACTGCATGAAGATCAGTATCTATAAGAGATTATTATAACACACTCACACTGACTGGTGGAGATATACATGTACATGTATGTGCATGGTTGATAAGCACTACAATACAATACATGGCATTTGGAAGAATTAAAAAAAGTCATAGAAAATCTAATTTTGATCAGAATTAGCTCAAAATTGAAATGCAACATAAGAACATGTACATGTATATGTATCAGGAAAAAATTATAAAAATGGCAAATTCTCTACTTTTTATTTTTGGTGAAATTTGACGAAAGTCCCTGTACAGGGACTTTGGCCAAATTTCACCAAAAATAAAATTTGGCCAAATTAGCCTTTGGTATTTTTCAAAAATTGGCCGTTTTTAAAATAAGTTCATAACTTGAAAAATTTAAGTCGGAATCTGTTCAAACTTTCTACACAGCATAAGTACATCAATATGTATCAGAAAATGTAATAAAAATTAAGGGTGATTTCAGAGCCATTTTTCCAAAAAACCATGGGCTATAGCCTTGGGTATTTTTCAAAAATTGGCCGTTTTAAAAAAATGTTCGTAACTTGAAAAATTTAAGTCGGAATAAGTTCAAACTTTCTACACAGCATAAGTACATCAATATGTATCAGAAAATATAATAAAAATTATGGGTGATTTCAGAGCCATTGTTTCAAAAAAACCATGGGCTATAGCCTTGGGTATTTTTTAAAAATTGACCATTTTAAAAAGTACTAATAACTTGAAAAATTTAAGTCGGAATAAGTTCAAACTTTCTACACAGCATAAGTACATCAATATGTATCAGAAAATATAATAAAAATTATAGGTGATTTCAGAGCCATTGTTTCAAAAAAACCATGGGCTATAGCCTTGGGTATTTTTTAAAAATTGACCATTTTAAAAAGTACTAATAACTTTAAAAATTTAAGTCGGAATCAGCTCAAACTTTCTACACAGCATAAGTACATCAATATGTATCAGAAAATTTAATAAAAATTGGGGGCGATTTCGGAGCCATTTATTCAAAAAAACCATGGGCTATAGCCTTGGGTATTTTTCAAAAATTGGCCATTTTTAAAATAGGCTCATAACTTGAAAAATTTAAGTTGGAATCAACTCAAACTTTCTACACAGCATAAGGGCATCAATATGTATCAGAAAATGTAATGAAAATTAAGGGTGATTTCGGAGCCATTTTTTCCTAAAAAACCATGGGCTATAGCCTTGGGTATTTTTTAAAAATTGACTGTTTTTAAAAAATGTTCATAGCTTGAAAAATTTAAGTCGGAATAAGTTCAAACTTTCTACACAGCATAAGTACATCAATATGTATCAGAAAATGTAATAAAAATTGAGGGTGATTTCGGAGCCATTTTTCCAAAAAAACCATGGGCCTTTGGTATTTTTCAAAAATTGGCCGTTTTTAAAAAAGTTCATAACTTGAAAAATTTAAGTCGGAATCAGTTCAAACTTTCTACACAGCATAAGTACATCAATATGTATCAGAAAATGTAAAAAAAGTCAAAGCCTGTTTATATACATTCATGTACATGTGCAGGTATAGTGTGACTTACTAAATGATTAACAGGTAATGGAACTGGCTCTGAACCTACATAATAATTAATAATAATAATTTATAATAATAATAATTTAAATAATTAACACACAGTAAGTATTGTTACAAATTTAATGAATAATGATCATCAATTTACAGTACATGTACATGTATTATGCATGTGCACTATAATCCTCATACATAATGACATATATTGTATGTGTAGGGTACACTAACTATATTTATGGTATGTTTATCATTTATTATTATTATTACTTATTATTAATATTATTATTATTATTATTTTATTGCAATCATGAAAGAGAATATATATTATTATTATTATTATTATTATTA